TGGCACCTCCCTTTCAGGCCTAGGGGCATTCTTCCTTGGTTTCCCTTTCTGGTGACACACAACTGTGGTCTGCTGTTACCTCTGACTGTCAGTGCCCTGGAAGAGAAGTGAGCCATCAGCACTAGTGAGTGTTTGCTAGTGCAAAACCAGACTCAAGCCCCTTAAAAAATAAAAAGATGAAAACCTGTAGCCATTACAGAACATCAACAATTTCCACTGAGGTCCATAGGATGTATTAATGTGATAATAAATTATTCATGTTGGCAAGAGATGGCGTGAGAAGCAGGAGGAATGGTTCTGTATTGATTTACCACGTGACCTTGGGCAAGTCACATCACTTTTGTGTGCCTGCCTCTCATCTTGACTATTTGGCGTATAAGCTTCTCAGGGCAGGAACTCATCTCTATTTATTCAATGCCTAGCACAAAGGCACCCAAGTTTTAGCTGGTGCCCTTTAAACATCACTGTAGTACAAATTATAATGTAAGCAAAGATTGTCAGTCCAGATCCTAAAAGGGAAGTTAGTAATTTTCTCATTCTCTCAGAGCATACAAAATACAGCCTCTCCTTATGAAGAAACACAATTTTAATGTTCTTTTAATTTTTCTGCTGACCCTCTTCAGTAGATCAGATAGGCTAAGCCAATGAGAGAGCCAATAGAAGCAATGTAATTGCAACTATATTGCTACCACATATGTGCACAAACTCAGTATGCAACTCTCTCTTGAATTAGGGATGTTAAATTTAGATTTATGGGCTACTTGAATAGTCAATGAGGGTGCCTCTGCCTTTGAAGCCCTGGTGCTGTTGCTACACTTCAAAGACGAAAGCGCTGCAGGGAGCAAACAGTCCCTCGCTGTCCCCATGTTCTCTGTGGCGTTTCAAAGCGGCAGCACCACATGGAGCCTGGGGTCAGAGTCAGCTGGGGATTCTCCAACATTGCTACATGCGACGTTTCAAAGAGGCAGAGCTGCGTGGATCTTAGGGTCTGGTCCTGGGCTCCACATGGCGCTGCCACTTTGAAGCACCCCCTTCTTTCCCCACCCCCTTGCTGCCTCTTTCTTATAGAGGCAGCAAGGGGGGGGAAGCAACTAGTCGATTAGTGTGTCGACTATCCGATAAGCATTTGCTTGTCGGATAGTCCAGCAGTGCGCAACCCGTGGTGGTTGCAGCTGTCCTCCTGGCTCAGCACCCAGGCAGGGGCGGGGGTAATGGACTGGCGCTTTAAATTAAAGGGGCCGCAACAAAATGCTCCCAGCTTTTTTTTTTCCCCTCAACAAAAGTTTTCCCGGCTCTGTGGGTCGCGAATGAAAAAAGGTTGAGCACCACTGGGCTAGTCGACTACTCATTCACATCTTTATCCTGAATTAAAGGTCAACTGTAAATTTATCTGGCTTAATACCATGAACAGCACCTGCCTCAGTAATTCTACCTTACAAGAAAACCTTGTGCTTCTCAAATGTGCTGGGTTTTGTTAAACCAAAGGAAATGCATTACTCCACAACACAATTTCAGGTCCTGTGTTTATTGTTGTGAGCACACATACAAGCATGTGATACAAAAAAAAATATTAGCATACTGCTGTGCATCAGCTGTGTGACATATGGAGAGACAACAGTATATAAAAACCGAAGGAGGAGAGCATCCAATTTACAAAATGGTCACAGGAAGCAGTGCTAAGCACTGCTGGGAAGAAACTGGGCTAAAAGGCAAGCAACTTAACAAATACAAGGTGAAATTCGCCCCTGTGCACAAGCCTCACACCAAGGTCAATGCTCTCTTAAATCCCACAAACTGAGGACTTAAGTGATGTCATGGATCTTTTAGTGGCCCTCTGAATAGGAGTGAATTTCACCCACGAAGAAGAGCACTTTAGAGCAGTAAGAATGAGTAGCCTATCAAGTAGTTAATTATAAGGCCAACAAAAGCCTTATAATTACAGTTTTAGTAACAGACATATTCTCTAGCTAGTTTTTTTCTCCACTCAAGGTCATCTGAAGAAGTGGGATTTGCTCACAAAAGCTCATTATACTATATATTTTTAAGTCAAGTCTTGAAGGTGCCACTAGACTACTAGTTGTTTTTAAAGTTACAGACAAATATGGCTACCCCTCTGAGACTGAATAGTGTTATCCATAAAGTGTTCACATAGCATGTTTCTCTTCTTCATGTTAATTTGAAGTGTTGTTTAAACTCTGCCCTGGTAGACAATCACAAATTATATACACAAGTTATATAATCCCATACATATTACTATAGAAACTGTGTCATTCCATAAATATTCCAGGTTGGAAAACAGTTTGAAATCGCAAGAAGAATAATTTGTGTCACACCATTTTTAATCACACTAGCTCCTATGAGGAGGCTATTCCCTCTGTCTCAGTCTGAGAGCAGAACCATTTAATTTGAGAGCATTTCAAATTGAAATCCAACTGGATTCTCAAAGTGCAGTCCTAACAAAGCACTGACATCTGGTGGTTATTTCAGGGCTTCCCAGCAGCATGTGCTGCCATTGGCAGGCAATGAATGTGAGTAATCTCACATGCACAGAAGGTCAAGAATCATACCAAGTGAAACTGTACAGCCTGACCAATCATTAGTCTTCTTCAAAGCATACACATAAATTGGTAGTGTGGACTGGACACTTGTGCTAATAGAAAACATTTCTCTAGGAAGGCAACTTTATAGATTTAAAATGCAGGGGAAGAAAGTGAAATTCATTCTGCATAGTCCGTATTTCAATTATGTTAATTTTAAAATCTTGAACAGATATTTTAATGTTAAACTTTCAATCTCTTCAGAATGTGATATGCTACTGAAACATCTGATTATAGGATTTTTGTAAGGCATATTATTTTGCGGAATTTGCCAGCTACACATTAAATGTAGATGCACTGCAAAATCCAATGAAGCAAGAGTAAATTAAAGTTAACAAAAAATTAACAGTGTTACTGGATTAAATACTCTTGAGATGTTAAGGTTTTAAAAACTGCACATTCGGTTTATCAAGATGTCAAAAAATCTGAGTCATTAAATTGACTTATATGAAACTGTCTTTTACCATCTACAGACAAACAAAAGCATTGTTTCCTATGTATAAATGTTTCTTACTAATGAAAAGCAGCAGTAAGATTTGTGCCATCTTTTGTTATACACTTAACACTCTGTTAAATTATCATCAGCAATGTTCAACTAACAAATTTTTCATTTCAACATCTTCTTGACAGCAAAATAATCCAGGTAAAATCCGCATCTGCTCATTTCAATGACCATTAGAGAGCAACCAGACATTATTAGACAGACCACAGCAACCATGTCTAGATCAGAACTGTACTACAGTTTGTGAGCAATGAGATCTAGGAGTTTGATTCAGGACCACTACTAGATATTACAATAACATTTTTCCTATTAAGTTACCGATATACTAATGGTTGAGAGATACCCAAAATGCTTGAAACATTCTGGAGCATCACAAATGAGCTAGAAATCTTGCAAGGTCAGACTTACGTGCTTCCTGTCAGGATGCTGACGTATGTACAAAAACTGACCTTATAAGTGCACAACTGCCACTGAAATGACAGGGAGCTGGGTTCAGGTTGAACAATACATCCATCAATAGTCACTGACTGGTTAACTGGATTAGAGCATCTGTGTTATTTACACTGTTTCTTCAAATCCAAACTGTAGCTTCATGAAAGAAACTGTAATACAAATTTCCTATTCCCAGGTTGTACAAATAATTTTTATTCATTTTCAAGAAGTTGTAATCTCTCAGTAAATAAACTGACCATGCTGGAGAATTACACTATTTTGAATCTCTGTATTAACCAGTCAAACCTGATGGATGGTTGACCCTTTTTTAATAATAAAAACAAACATGAAGCTATCCTCAGAAAATCTTACTCATAAAAACTATTTATAATACATAGGATATTTTCTGACATGCTGTGGCACTAATAGGCAATATTTTCACAAAGAGGTGCATGCATTTATTTACATACAATCACACTCACCTAACTTGGCAAAAATAACCAATTTGCCTACATACCTTGGGTATTTGAGTAATGCAACAAACCTGGGATCTCTGGAGCTTAATGCATGAGCCTCTACAGCTTGAGCTAATATCTAGCAGGCTTTCAGCTAAGGCTGTAGAACCAACTAACTCTCTCTCTCTCTCTCTCTCTGTAAGTGGTCTAAGTGCCACTACATGGGACAGTGAACCACACCCAGTGGATGGGTGAGTTACATACACACAGGCCATGCAGGGGATTTTCAAAGGGACAAGAGGAAATGCGGAGCTTGAACTTCAGTGAAGCTGAGAGCCTACCTGCCAGTTATGCCTTTGAAAAACCTCTCAGTATCTACCCAAAATAGTTGATTTTCACATAAATTTCAGGTATTTTCCCTAATACATGAAATTCATGCTACTGTGTGAACCACCATATGAAACCATGGCCCTATTTTCCAAGCCAATCACAATGATCCCCTTGCAAACCAATGGGAGTTACACTTGTTAAACGTCACTCTCATGCAGAGAACAGACACAATGGCTCTGGGCCACTTGAGTCCTACTTAAATCCTGTTTTTAAAGCTCAAGTAGAACTTAGGACTTGTGCTGATCCTCTGCATACAGATGAATTTCACCCACACTGAGCACCTGCTACATTGCTGAAGGAATAGCTAGTGAATAAAAGTTCTAAGATTACATCAGTCATTTGGTAAACGACTGGAACAATGATTCTTCCAACAAAGCATTGTCATGGGATCTATAGATCCTTATTTGAAAAGTACATATTTTATTTCTTTATTGTCCCTTCAAAATTTAATATCCACCAGTATCTTAGCATTCCAATAAATTTATGCAACTGTAGGAAACTATTATCCCGTGACAATGTTCTGGTCCATAAATCTTTCATATACATTTATCTTAGAAATTTTCCAGGGGGTTAGAGATGTCCCCTGCAATCAGGCAAATCGGAGTCTAAAAATGTTGTCTTGTTCTAATTGATAACATCATGTTGACAAATCTCTTCCGAAGACAGCAAGCCAACCAAAACGGTTGTGCCAAGAACTCTTGGTGCCCTTTTCTTGGCCACCCGAAATGCAGTTGGCAGAACTGCTGAGATTAATATGTTGTTGACGTGTCCTAAAACCTTGTTAAATGTTTTTCTCTTCAAAACACGTTCATAATAGGTTTCCAAGTTTGGTCGTTTTCCATTTCCCCAGTTTCTTCTTGAAAATCCCAGAAACTTCAAGCGATGTAATGTAACAGCAAGTGATACATCTGCCAAACTAAAGAATTCGCCACACAACCAAGGCTGCTGTCCATCTTCTAATTGGAGACAAACACATGAAGAATTAAGAGCTAACAAAGTGCAAGGATAAGTGGAAAGTTGCCTGGTCTAGTCTGTGTGTTTACTGCTACAGCTTGAACCTCCCTAATCTGGCACACTCTGGTCCAACAACATCTGCGGTCCGGCATGATTTTAGTTAGCCAGATGTTCACTTATCATGGGTGTGGCCAAGTTCCCTGCAGTCCCATGAAGTTTCTTTACAACCACAAGTCCTGGCTCTCAGTGTTCTGTGCTGTTATTTAGCTCAAATTTACCCTTATATGTCTTCTAAGAGCCCAGTAAGTAGTGGAAGTGTTCGTAATGCTACTAGACAATATTGACCTCCCGTGGTTCTGCAAATTCTCTGGTTCAGCACCAGTCAGGTTCCAAGGATGCCTGACTTGAGAGGTTCAACCTGTAGTACATAACAAAGATTCATAAACAACAGTAACACTTTGAAAATTGAAAATCAGATTTTAATAGCCAACTTCCTTCTCCAATCCCTATCCATAGTGTATACAAAGCTGCAGAGTCCATCTGCCTTCTGCCCAGTAAGATCCACACATGAGTTTTGTGATTTAAAACCAATTTTTGCTCCCAATTACATTTTCTAAGACTAAATTAATTGAACAGAGGTGAAGGGAAGGAAAAAACCCAGTTTTCATCTTTTGCTGAATTCTAGCAAAGGCTACAGGTTCCTTGACAAAGGCCTGAAGAGTGTCATTTTGTTTGTATTATTCTATTTAGAGAAAAAAAAACTCAAACAGGAGCTGCTTACATTGGATGAAAATTTTCCAAGCAACAGAAAATTAACCTGTTGATCAAGCTATTAGAGGAGCTCTGAATTGACCCATGGCCTACCCAGATATTTTTAAGATTTGACTATTCTTTTTTCTGGAATAACATTTTAACTATGAGCCTCATAACTGCCCTCTCTCCCATGGTCCAGTCAGCAAGTTACAGTCTGCTTAGATCTCAAGTGGAAACATACTGCTCTCTGCTGCATTTTCCAAAGCAAAATTAGTATAAGCTCTCAGATCCAGGGAAACCTGTCGTTATACCTAGAAGGCTAGGGAGAGAGACCAATACAGGGAGGGAATCCTTTCTGTGCAGCTGCAGACAGATATGAAAGTTAATCCTTACAGCAGGAGAATAAAGGGAAAAATCTAAGCAGATAACTGTGTGAGAAGGATACCTGTGTAAGGAAGACTAAGAGGGAGGGAGAGACTGAACTAGTAAAAGGAAGGAATAGAAGGTCAGAGACAGACAGAGATGATTTCATTGTGTTGTGTAAGTACATTCACAGGGAGAAAATACCCCACACTATAGGGCTCTTTAATCTAGTAGTAGTAACAAGAACCAGAGACTGGAAGATATAAACACATTCAAAATAGAAATAAGGCATTTTTTTAAACAGTGAGGCTGCGTCTAGACTGGCATGATTTTCCGCAAATGCTTTTAACGGAAAAGTTTTTCCATTAAAAGCATTTGCGGAAAAGAGCATCTAGATTGGCACGGATGCTTTTGCGCAAAAGCACTTTTTGCGGAAAAGCGTCCAGGCCAATCTAGACGTGTTTTTGCGCAAGAAAGCCCCGATTGCCATTTTCGCCACTGGGGCTTTTTTGCACAAAACAGTTTTTACCTGTCTACACTGGCCCTCTTGCGCAAAAGCATTTGCGCAAGAGGGCTTATCCCTGAGTGGGAGCATCATAGTATTTGCGCAAGAACACTGACAATCTTACATTAGATCGTCAGTGTTCTTGCGCAAATTCAAGTGGCCAATGTAGACAGCTGGCAAGCTCTGTGGCCCTGGCAGCACTGAAGGACTGGCTGGGGGAGACTAGCCTCCAGTCCTGTCCCTGCTGCCCAAAGTCCCACCCCTTCTTGGGGCCCAGAATAAGCACTTCTCAGGGCCTAGCAAAGCCTCTTATCAACCTTCTACGGCAGTACAGAATTTGGCCAAAATATTTATTCACTACTGTATCATTCATTGATTTTAATCCAGCTTATATTGATAGGGACTAATAACTGTTACCATCTGAAGCTGGTTTGCTATTTAAGTGAAGTGACTTAGTGGTCTGAGTTCTGTTCTCAATTAGTAGTAGTTCACTTCAAAACACAGTTGATGCTAACTTGAATCCTTATTGGTGGTTTCAGTAGAAGAGTGAAGGATAGATGGCTTGATCCAGCTCCCAATGAGATCAGAGGAAAGGCTTCCACTGAGGTCTGCGGGAGCTTGATCAGACTCTAGATGAACATGAAGAATGAGCTCTCTTTAGAGGACTATTAAAAAAGCAATGAGGAGTCATGTGGCACCATAGAGACTAAGGGTATGTCTACACTTGCACCCTCTTTTGAGAGAGGAATGCAAATAAAGACATTCAAAATTACAAATGAAGACAGGATTTAAATATCCTGCATTTCATTTGCATAATCGCATTATGGCGCTATTTCGAAAGAACGGACGCTATTAAGATGCAGTTATTTCGAGGAAAATCCCTTCTCTCGAAATAATCTTTATTGCTCATACAATGAGGTTTAACAGTTATTTCAAGAGAAGGGTTTTCTCTCGAAATAACCACGTCTTAACAGCATCTGTTATTTCGAAACAGTAGACATACCCTAACATATTTACTCGGGTATAAGTTTCATGGATAAAGCCCACTTCATTGGATGAATTGGAGTGGAAGTTACAGAAACAGATTATATATAAGAAAGTAGTTTTTGTGTTAATGAAAGACTACTGATGTTTAAAGTTAGGCATTAACTTTCTATGCTGAATTGGGGGTCTCAAGCAATTTTAAGTTTTTTTAAATAGTTTGGCATGATGTTCTGCACATCATGCTGAAAATGTGTGTGAACAAGCTCCCTAAAGCACACTTAAAAGGACGCATACATGCTCCAAATGGTAGTAAATTGCATTAGACTAAATATGTATTGAAAGCTGAGTGACATTAGCATGCTATAAATTAAAGCTAATGCATAAAAAATATCATACTAAACAAATATTATTAGCTGTATGAATCACTTGTGCCAAACATAACTGTCCATAGAATTAAACGGGAATAATCCCTTACCTGGTGTTTCTTCATTTCTCCTTTGTAACTCAGTTTCAACCTGATCCAAAACTTTTTCCAATTCATCAAGTATTTTCTTCAGGTACTTTATATTATCATGGTCCAATAGTTTAGACTGCAGATATACACAGATTATAGTTTTAAACAAGCATACAAATATATTATAGTTACAGTGCTTTTGGAAGAAGATTAATTTGGGGATTATGAAAATATGCACATTTTCCCATCTCAGTTAAAAGCCAAGTGGAAATTATTGGCAATATACGTCGTAGTGGCAACTCAAATAACAGGAGAAGAAAAACTTTTTTTACAGAATGGAGATACTTTGTGAGTACTTAATCCTGCACTCTCGCCTCAGTCCAGCAAAGCACTCACACACATGCTTAACTTTGCAGTTAATGGGACATAACGGTGCTTTAAATTAAGCATACATTGCAGTGTTCTGCTAGATGCTCAATGTTTTCGAGGGCTGTCTCCCTGAACGAGCATACTGGTAATGAGAGCTGAAATAGAAACAGTTTGTTTGAGCATAATTCCAGAAGTCCGATATTGATGTTGAGTAAGTATAGCTGTGGGATAATGTGAATTAACTCACTTTAAGGCGCTTCTGTTTTGCTATATAAGCATCTTGGAGGTCTGGATTTTCTTTTGCAAGCTTCTTTAGTTCAGATTCTGTGTTACCGATCTGGCCTGATAAAACAGAAACAGGAGTTATATAAAATCACCCACTATATTCATGTTTTAATCCACAAAAATAACAAGTAAGTAGTGTGAAACATTATTAAGAAATATGTAATTTTAAATGGCAAGTGTTTTTTTAATAAAGTTTTCATGTCAATTGGCTCACAGATATCACAGTTTGGAGCAATGATGTGGTGAATTAACAAGGGGACCCAAAACGTTTTCTTCTCTCTGTTTTGTGATTGGTTCTGTAAACTAAACACCTGCTTCCAGGGAGCAAGGATGAAGGACTAGAGAATCTATTAATTTATTCTTTCAATAAACACATCTGCTTTGTTACCCATTACCAAAAAGGAAAGGGCAATGACACATGGCAACAAACATAGCAAACAGCTACAGCTCTGCAGCAAATGCTTACACTTTGTTCCTGAGAAATATTTGCCACCAAGTTTTCAGAAGTGGTTGCTAATGTTGCGTGAGAAGTTTCTGGGTGCTCAGGTTTGGACACCTGAGCCTGGAGCATCCACAGCTCCCTTTAGATTTCACTGGTGTTCTGAGTGCTGAGCAGTTCTTAAAAAAATCTAGGCAGAAGGGCCAGCTATTCATGCATCTAAAGATATGTGTCTATCTGATCTTTAGATGCCTAAATACTCTTTACAAATCTGGTCCAAGGTGTCTCAAGTTAGTCAAAATTTGAGACACATATAATCAGCACCTCCTTTAAAAACTATTGGCCAAGATATTTATTGATAATATAGCAAAAGGTTCTGCTCACGTATAGCAAAGAAGGAATATGAATGAAGATTACTATTATTTATTTGTATTACAGAGGGGACAACTTTTTCATTTTTAAACATGTGTATAGTTTATTTGGAGTGGATTCCACCAACGCACAGACCCATAATGTCAAAAGTTAGGCTTGGAGTTAATGAGTTTTTATTAAACACAAAGATCTTCAATAATAACAAACAGAACTTGTAGGGCTTGAGTTTCTCTCACATTCTCTAGTGGAAATTAGGTGTAACTCTCAAAGGGCTTGCCTATCCAAATGTTTTGCTGGTAGAGCTGAACCACAAGAGACCCCAAAGTAGAGATTCAGTATATAACTCAGCCAAAAGAGTTCTTCTGCCAACTTAGATAAACCACCCCTCCGAACAACATAAAATATGCCAACATAGTCAGTTTAGCTTCATCTGTCTCAGGAATTTTGCCTGAGATAGCTCTATCAACTAGAAGGCGTGATTCTTTGTCACTACTAACCAACAGCTATGCCATCATAATTCTGTAGGGCAGATTATGCCTAAATCTGTGGAGTTAGCTTGAAGTAAAATTGGTATAGGAAAAGAATAAGACCCATTACTTTATATATTCTTTAATCTTAATCTTAAATGGCTGTGAAAGTCTTATTTCACTATGATACCTATTTAGCATGATAAAACAAAAACAGTAATAATATAAGATCACTTACTAGATTCATGTTTTAATTCACAAAAATTAAATAAATGGTGTGAAAAACTGAAAAGAAACTTGTCATTTTAATAAACCTCCAAATTTAATTATAAAGGATGAATCATCATTAAACAGCTGTATTTCTATTGAGGTCCCAGAGATTAGCTTCTGGGCCCTACGGGTGTGTCTAGACTACATGCCTCTGCCGACAGAGGCATGTAAATTAGACTACCCAACATAGTCAAGAAAGCGGGGATTTAAATATCCCCTGCTTCGTTAAAATAAAAATGGCCGCCACACTGTGCCGGCTCAGCTGATCGTCGGCACAGCACGGCAATCAAGACGCAGATTGATCGACAGGGAATGCCTTTGTCAACCGCTCCCTTATGCCTCGTGAAATGAGGTTTACAGGAGCGGTCGACAAAGGCATTCCCTGTCGACCAATCCGTGTCTTGACTGCCGCGCTGTGCCGACGATCAGCTGAGCCGGCACAGTGTGGCGGCCATTTTTATTTTAATGAAGCGGGGGATATTTAAATCCCCGCTTTCTTGACTATGTTGGGTAGTCTAATTTATATGCCTCTGTCGGCAGAGGCATGTAGTCTAGACATACCCTATGATATTTATATTTTTTAATGAGTGATCTGGAAGAAAACATGAAGGTATTACTGATAAAGCAATGAAACAAACAATATGCATTTCAATATGGTCAAATGTAAAGTCCTACATCTAGAAAAAAAGACTGAAGGCCATACTTACCAAATGAGGGAGTCTAGCTTGGGAAGCAATGATTTTGAAAATCAGAAATAAGATGCAATTTTCATCACTGATTCTAATAAACCACTGGAATAACCAAGGACTATGGTAGATTCTCTACTCAATGGAAAATTTTAAATCAACATTGTATGTTTTTCCAATATATATGTTCTTAATCGAACCACAGTATTGGACTTGATGCAGAATTTTTAGTCAATGAAGTCTTATGTCCTATGTTATGCAGAAGTCAGACTAGATGACCATATTGGTTTCTCTCTACCCTTGCAATATATATATTAGGAATCAGAAATTAATCTAAATGGCAAAATCTATGGATAAAATCTGGATTGTGCAGATCCATGATTTTGGTGCAAACTGATCTTTAAAAAAAAAATATGTGCATGTTGAACCCAAGTAGCTTATCCTTTTTGCTCCTTGGTGCAACTATAAATGTATTTTTCCTACAAAAATGCAGCCATATTCTCCTCTCACACAAGTTTTATGTTAGTGAAACTTCACTGACTTCAATGAGGCTATTGTTCATTACATTAGTGTCATAGAGAGGGAGTCAGGTCCATTATTTTAATAGATGTTCTGCTGTCATTGTACATTTCTACATATAGAAAGAATATATTTTCTTAGCTGTATCTGTTTGGTGCAGTCACTATGAGTGCAGCCTACAGGCAAAATAAGTACATTGTTTTATAAACCTAAATCAGCGAGATAAAGAAAAATTAAAATTATGAAATCCCACTACTATCGGTGTATAAGAAGCACAAACAGCACTGCTATCCTTTCCTATAGTTAACAGAATTAACCCTACAGCTACTCCAAAAAGGAAATTTCCTTTTTCCATATTTTCCAAACTTTGAAGAAAAATATAATTTAAAATGACTAAGATTGTAAAGTTAAAACAACACCGTAGTGAGGAGACATGTTTTTCCTATGACCCAGAACAGGAGGAACCTCCCTCCATTGCCAAGTTGGTGGAGCCAGCCCTGCCTCAGCCCGGCCATCAGAAGTGGAAAACAAGAAGATGAAGATATAAAAGGTGAAGTCTCTGGCTCAGTTGGGAGTCCGACACTGAGGGAAGCAGATGTGTCCTACTCACTCCAAACAGCAGACTTTGCAATGGCCCTGCCTATTGAGGAGCCTGTGCATGCTGCAGACCTCATCTGACTGCCATAAGCCACATATTCTGAGAAGACGGAAGACATCTCCAGGCCACGGGTACACCCCGAGGGCAAGGGCGGAAGTGACCAGGGGCAGCAACATCTGGACCGAGGTCGTCATGTTGCAGTGGCAGCCTCTCATCAAGTCAAGAGGCTTGAGTGTTTGCTGTGCCCTCCAACCAGGACCCATCCTCTAACAGACTCTAGGTTATGGGCATACTGCCCCAGGCCTGGGGCCAGAGAGAACCCATTTCCTACCAAAGGCAGTCAAAGAACATTGACTGTCAGGGGAAGTTTAGCCCAGTGGGACAGTCGGGACCCTAGTGCCTCTGTCTTGCTTCCCTCAAATACAAGTCAATGATTTCAACAGAAGAATGAGGCAGTATGGTTTCCCTCCAAACCAGAGGAGGAGGAAAGACCCAATTAAAGACACATAGAGGGCTAGATTCTGCTTTCAGAGGTATGCTCATTGCTCTATTGATGTCAAATAGGGCGGTGATCACAAGAGACACTAGCTGTGATCCACATATTTTATTTGGTTGGTGATGAAGCTAAATAAATTCAGACGAGAAAGAAAGTGCAATTTGGAAGGGGAGGGGAATTATTACCAGCCTAATATGGCAAAGGACAAATTCATTCTAAACCAAAAACCTTGATGAATGTACTCCTCTTTCAGCCCGCAAAACTGGTATAATCAGAAGTATTTCCTGTCCTTATGACTGAATGTTGAGCAACATTGGAAGAATGGAACTGAAGTTTCCTAAAATCCTGATTTTGTGTAACTTGATAAAATGTTTAAAGGTACCTAAATTACTTAGAAGCCTATGTATTCATAAGTAACATACACACTTGAAAAATTTAACCTTCATTTTAAAGAGCTAATATTTTCAACGAGTGCTTAAGACTAGGCCAATAAATCCACTTTATTAAGTGAGTTGATTTTCAAAACTGCTGAGTACCTAGCTGCTCCCAGATATTGACAGGCCTTACTAGGGGAACCATTAATTAAACGTATTTGTCATTAACAGTATATAAGTGTGAATTGTTTATGTTTTAAGCACATTTTTGAACCATATTCTTATTCAGGTTTCAGGGATTTTTAAATATAAAACATTTTAGAACCAAGTATGCAAGATCTGCTAAACAGTAATATTTTTCAGTTGACATTCACTACGTACTGCGAATTCTAGTTGTTGCATAAGCTGGAATCATGGAATCCACTGTTAATTCTGGGTGTAAAATGCAGCCATGTGTGTAGGCATCCATAGGCAAGGAGTCCAAGAGCTCTCTATAATGTTGCACTCTTGGGTAATACATGCTTCCTTCTTCTGGTATTAATCTTGGTGTCTTCTCTGAAATATATTTATTTAGGATATATTTTTAAAAATTAGGAAGTGCTATATGACATGTGAAATGATGATATTATGATAAATATGATAAAAGTCATTTTATGAATGTTAGTTCAATTGTGCCTATATAGCAAATGACATGGTTAGTGAGTGAAATCCTCACAATTAGGTGATTTTTTCCACCTTGATTCAAGTTCAACAAAGCACTTAACTGCATGCTTAGTTTTCAGCACCTGAGTAATCCCATACCAATCTACTTAACCATGTAATTAAAGAGACCAAAGCAGACCAGAGAATCTGCTACACAGAATATTATATTCAAGCAGTTTCAGCAGAATAAATTTTTTTTTTTTACATTTCTAGCAATGTCACTATCTATTGATATACAACAAACATCTCAAAGGCCCATTGAAAAGAAGGTATTCCATTGATTCAAAAAGCCATTATAAAATGGTAATTTAATATGATGAGGTAACTGCCTCTGTGGACATGGGGAAGTCAGTGGATGTGATATACAGTAGACTTCCGATAATCCGGCACCTTTGGGACCTAGGTGGTGATGGATTATCGGATATGCCGGAGTATTGGGAGTTACTCCGGGGGGCGGGCTGTGACGGGTCTGCTGGACCCGCACTGCGTCTAGGGGCTGGGCAGGGAATGGCGTGGCGAGGGGAGAACCCTCCACCATTTTGCAGGAAGGCGGGGAAAGCCCTGCGCCGCCGCCAAGAGTTTCCAGGAGGGGAGCGGAGCGGGCTCCCCACCTCCCAGACTGAAATAGTCATCGCTGAGCACGGGGGTAAGGGGCACCCCTCACCCCCCTGTTTGCACCCAGCAGCACCCCAGCTGCTCTGCTCTGCAGCGTCCTCAAGTCCGCTGCTGGTCAGTTTCAGCAGCATCAGCGGCGGACTTGGGGAAGCGGCGTGGAGCAGTTCCAATTGTCTGGCTGGCCGGAGCACTTCCGGGTTCCAGTTGGTGCCGGACTATCAGGAGTGCCGGACCACTGGATGCCGGACAATTGGAGTTTTACTGTACCTTGACTTTAGCAAAGCTTTTGATAAGGTCTCCCACAATATTCTTGCCAGCAAGTTAAGGAAATATGGATTGGATAAATGAACTGTAAGGTGGATAGAAAGCTGGCTAGATTGTCGGGCCCAACAGGTAGTGATCTATGGCTCAATGTCTGGTTGGAGGTCTGTATCAAGTGGAGTGCCCCAAGGATCAGTTCTACAGCCGGTTTTATTCAACATCTTCATTAATAACCTGGATGAGGGGATGGATTGCGCCTTCAGCAAGTTTGCATATGACACTAAGCTAGGAGAAGAGATATGTTGGAGGGCAGGGATAGGGTCCAAAGTGACCTAGACAGATTAGAGGACTGGTCCAAAAGAAATCTGATGAGGTTCAACAAGGACAAGTGCAGAGTCCTGCACTTGGGACAGAAGAATCCCAAGCATTGTTATAGGCTGGGGACCAACTGGCTAGGTAGCAGTTCAGAAGAAAAGGACCTGGGGGTACAGTGGATGAGAAGCTGGATATGAGTCAACAGTGTGCCCTTGTAGTCAAGAAGGCTAATGGCATATTAGGGTGCATTAGGAGGAGCATTGCCAGATGATCTAGTGAAGTGATTATTTCCCTTTATTCGGTACTAGTGAGGCCACATCTGGAATACTGCATCCAATTCTGGAATACATCCACTACAGAAAGGATGTGGACACATTGGAGAGGATCCAGCAGAGGGCAACCAAAATGATTAGGAGGCTGGACCACTCGTCCTACGATTCTCCAGTTACAGTGGGGAAGGTCTAGATTGGATATTAGGGAAAACTATTTCACTAGGAGCATGGTACTGGAAGGGGTTACCTAGGGAGGTGGTGGAATCTCCATCCCTAGAGGTTTTTAAGTCTTGGCTTGACAAAGCCCTAGCTGGAATGATTTAGTTGGGGTTGGTCCTGCTTTGGGCATGAGGTCTCTTCCAGCCCTAGGATTCTATGAAGTTACATTAATCATTTTAAATATATTTTAAAGAATTCCATTTTCCAGCAGCATTAACACTCCATTTATATTTGTATGCCACAGATTGTTAGCGTTCTTCAATTTACCCACTTCTCTATTTCTTCCAGACAATCATTACCTGACCAAAAGGCAAGCAATTAGCAATTAATTCAGCAGGTGCTGAACTGCTAATAGTGACATACATGTTCTTACTGCTATGCAAATCTCTAAAGTCCATTGCACGATCATTTTATCCTTGCAACCAACTACATTTACCAGTTAGAGATATAGCATATAGAGCCCTAACTAGACAACACCAATACAAAAGGTTGCTTCTGCACTTCATCCCAAGAAATATTTTCTATGCACAGGCAAAAAAATGTTTACTTTAAAAACTGATCCTGTCTTTTCCTAATAATGACAAGTTTTATGAAAAAGTCAATGTATGCCATTATTCCTTTCTTATGACCATAGTTTATTATTTCCACTCTGTCTCCTTATTCCATTTATGTGTGTGCACTCATATGTGCCTGTACGCACATACCACATATACATACACCACTCTTTTTCTTACAGTGTATAATTAAAAAAAAAATACTCTGGAATTATCCAGGAAACTGCACCAGTTTTGTATAAGATGTTCTTACCAAAAATGACAATCATTTTGCATTGAAGTTATTTTATATTAGTCCTCACTACACAATTAGCATAGCAAAGAATTATCATATCACTGACCTCATTAAGAAAAGTTATTATAATGTCAATTGTATTACCAAATAGATGTTAAAGTATTTTCAGTGAAATCGGTTTGCTTGGAGAATGGGAAACCTTTTACAGATATGGACAAAACTCTATACAGAGACATACAAGTACTGCATTAAAAATCATATAAACTCCAAAAAATTGTCATTACCATTCACAAATGTCTCTTCAAGATAATCAATAATTTGTGTGGCCTCACAAATAATATTTTCTCCATGGATAAGAACAGGCACTTCTCCAGATGAGTTTAAACGCATAAACCAAGGTTCATTGTGTTCACTCAAGGGTAAACTTACATCATGTTCTTCACACTTCAGTGCTTTTTCAGCAATTACTAAACGCACCTGAAAAATATTGCAAGAATTAATTGATTAATCTATTTACTATGGATAAACTGATAGTCTGTTCATTTAGAGGAGCAATGTGTTTCAGGAGGTGGATTGGAGTCTATTCCCAACTCAGCCACTGATCTGCTGTGTGTATTTTGGCACATCACTCTGTCTTCTTTCACGTCCTTATTTAAATTGTATTCTCATTAGGCAGGGACTATGTACAGTACCTAACACAAGTGAGACCCAATGTTAGTTAGGGTACTTTTAGGTGCTACAGTATTAGAAGTAACAACAGCTAAGAATAATTGTAATTGCCTAAAACTCTTCTTTCAACACATTTATCATTAACATAATTAACAATAGTTGGTGGTTATTTGACTGCCAGGTATTCATGGAAATGATTGATAAACATTAAATAAATTAACAAAACAAAATTATTTTTAAAATAGTCTAAAACCTAATACAGTACTATGGTTTTGGTGATTTCTAAATTCCTTTCCCATATAATGTCAAATATGTTCTGTAAACATAACTGGAACTGAGGCATACTAATTTTGGACTTTTTATTAAGATCAAGTTACAATAAAATATAAACATACCACATTAGAAATTACTTATTGAGAATCAGATTAATATTCACAATGCCTAGCTAAAGATTCTGGCTTGCTGGTTGGAGAGCTCTTCTCCTTTGAATAAACTTAAAAACAGTGGCCAAATTTCTAAATACCTACTCCTTTTTGGTGCTTCTTTTGTGAATGACCTTGGTGTGAATATTTTTCCATTACAAGCATAAGCCATATTTCACTATACCACAATTGTTTGCTTTGGCAATTGAACGATTTGCAATAAACATAAGAAAAAGCCCTTTATTAAAGAATACCAACACATCTTCTGCATTAGATGTATATGCTGATATCCTTTTATTATATTTTGCAAAATCCAGAAGTGACATTCAAAACCATCTATTACATTGTAACAGCTCAAACATATTATATTCCAGGGTTTAAAATCATGAGTCATCTGGCCCCAAACACTCTCTGCCCCATGGCCTCTTATTATGGATTTACAGATTCTGCATTTTGAAATGACCACAGTTCCTTGGAAAGCCTTAAAAGCCTTTCAAGGCCTAATGAGAAAACACTGTGGCCTTGCCACTCGCCATCTCTTCTCTATCCGGATCAAGACAACAGCACTACAGCCCTCAGTCCGTGCTTAACCCCCGCCCCACACTGGGACCTGCGAGACAAGAAGCCCCATGCCCCAGAGGGGGCATCAAGGACCAGGGGATCTGTCCAGGTGCTGATCCTTGGCGCTCCCCAAAGCGCCCACCCACTCACTCACCTTTTGGGAGCAGAACGAGTGGGTCCAGTGGTAGAGTATTAGCTTGGCCTCTGCCTTGCATTCAGCCAGGAGCCCGCTGCCCGCTGCCGCGCCATCCTCCTGTAGCGCCATCGCTCACTCCCACCCAGCCGTGGCTACGGGATCAGTGTCGGGCTCTCCGGCTGCTACTGAGCGTGCTCCAGAGCTCCGAGCATGCTCCGTGAGAGCCGCTGCCCGCCTATGGCCCCGGGGATTGCGCCTTGGCTGTACCGGGGAGGAAATCCAGGGGCGCGGGAAGGCCAAGCGGGGGCCCGGATGCCAGAGATGTAGCACTGGGGGCAGGGAGGAGCAGGGGGCAGAGATAGGGAGAGAGGGGGCGTAGCGGGGCAAAAACCGTGGAAACAGATTGTGGAGGCTTATGCTGCACCATGCACTAGCCACTCCCTACACCT